CAGTCTGCGTTCCCATCCTAACCCGCATCGCGTCTTTCCTTGCGGCGAGCTAGAGGGTGGAGGCTGGGCCGCGGGCGGGCCGTTCTGTTCATTTTTCTCGCCATTCCCCAAGGAAGAAAAAGAAGGGCTTTGTCGGCTGAAGGGGCTGCGGCTCGATGAGCTGCCCTTCAGGGATGTTCTAGCTTTTAGGAGGACGTGGCCGGTTCTGGAAGTACCTCAGCACGACCTCACTTCCTGAAGCTTTACTATATCCCCCAGATCACTTATAGAGGCAAAATCCCGCTGCACACTCCACTTGGATAGCCAATAGGCTCCTCAGACTTACAATGTCCGAACGGCACTCCTGGCCCAATGCACCAAAACAAAACTGTGCTCCACCAAACAATCAGTGGCTAGATCTTGGAGTCATCCCTGCCTCTTTCACACCCCACGTCCAGTCTGTCAGAAAATCGTGTCGGCCATGTCTTCAAAACAGATCCCTAATCCAACCGCTCCTCACTACCCACACCTGTCCCCCCTCTAGGTCCGCGTCACTACCTTCTCACCCTTGGGATTGATTACTCAGGCTTCCCTAATGCCACGGGCACCTGCACAGTCTAGTCTAAACACAGCAGGCAGCTCAGTCCTTTGAAGTCTGAGATCTTGTCCCTGCTCTGCTTAGCACTTTCTGACGGTTCCTCGTTTCACTCAGGCTAAAATCTCTGCTTGATTTGCCCCTAACCATCTCCCGCTGTTCTCACACTGATCGCTCTGCTCCAGTGAATCTGACCTCCTTGCTTTCCTTGAAAAAGCCAGGCATACTCATGCCCCAGGGCCCTTGGACTTGCTCTTCCCCCCAAATCCAGGGTCCCTTCCTCACCTTTCCCTCCCCTTGCCTTCTAATCTTTGCTCAAGTATCACCTTCTCAACAGACCTACCCTGAACACCCTATTTAAAATTGTCAGCCACCCCCCACATTCCTAATCCCCCTTAACCTGCTCAGTTTTTTCTGTAGCACTTATTATCATTTAACATGATTTTAAAAATGTATTTATATGTATTGTATTCTGCCCCCTACTTTACACACACACACACACTTCACACACACACACACACACACACACACACACACCATAGCCATCAGTGCAGGAATGGTATCTGTGTTGTTTAATGAAGAACAATACCTGACATGCAGGAAGTTCTCATTACATATTTTCTGCATCAGTGAATGTCCCCAGAATGTGCAGTACTCAAGGGTAGGGATGGTCGCTCTCTTGTTCATTGTTATGACCCTGGTGCTTAGAACAGCTCCCAGAACAGAGTCAGCACTTCAGAAATATTTGCTAAATGAAAGTGACCACATTTTTATTTATTTATTTTTTAATTTTTTTGTGGTACGCAGGCCTTTCACTGTTGTGGCCTCTCCCGTTGTGGAGCACAGGCTCCGGACGCGCAGGCTCAGCGGCCATGGCTCACAGGCTCAGCTGCTCCACGGCATGTGGGATCTTCCCAGACTGGGGCACAAACCCGTGTCCCCTGCATCGGCAGGCAGACTCTCAACCACTGTGCCACCAGGGAAGCCCCGAAAGTAACCACATTTTTAAAAGCGATCTGCACCTCTTGCTTTGACCTTGGTGAACCCCTGATACACCTGTATCACAAGTAGGTTATGCTGCCTCCAAGAGCTTAGAGTTCTAGTTGTTATTCAGTCAGCATTTAGACAAGCTAAATTAGACCCTGTAGAAAAAGTATAAAAGAACTAAAAGATGTGGCGCCTTGTAAAGCAGCAGACCGTCTGCTTCATTTCCCCAAATTTATGGAGCCAAAAAAAAAAGAATGTAAATATAATGACTGGTTCCAGCCCACATCTAAAAGATGGTGGGAAAGATCAAGTTGTACGGAAAAAAAAAGGAGATGTCTGACAGATAAGTGGGACCTAAAGGGAACAGGTATTTCGTAATCACATCGCCTAGGAGGAGGCTGCTCAAGATTTATCGCATCTGGCTTTAGGCGAGAAAGAGAAATACTTTGTGTTCTCTGAACTGGATTTGAATTTCTGTTTGCAGGATAACAAAGCATCCCTCCCCTTCTTGAATTTCTTTCAGGAGAACCTCAGGGAGAAATTATTGAGCCGAATTATCAGCAGAGGGTGAGAACACTGAGGTTATGTCAGGCTCTTCTCTTATCTCTGCAGTCCTCACATGTTTGAAGAGGTGGAACAGTTACACTAACATTTACTGAGTGCTGTGTGCCTAGCCCACAACAACCCAATGAGCAAAGGACTGTAATCCTCATTTTACTGGTTGAGGAGACAGATTTACAGTGGTTGAGTCATTTGCCCAAAATCCGCAAGCTAGTAAGTGGTTGGAGTGTTGTATACATTCAGGCAGCAGGATGGATTCCTAGCCCCCAAACACTTAATCATCACTAAGTTATATGGAAGGGACCCTAGAGGTCACCTCATCCAACCTCCTAGTCTACACAGTGGAAAGCAGGAGGCAACTGGATTCATCATTCAAACTCAGACTGGATGGGTTTTAAATGTAGCCAGAAACATTGTGTGGAAACATGTTATGGGTTGAACTGTGTCCTCCCAAAATTCATATGTTGAAGCCTCAACCCCCTATACCTCAAAATATGACACTATTTGGAAATAGGGTTGTTGTAGATGTAATTAGTAAAGATAAGATTGTACTGGGGCAGAGTGGACCCCTAATCCAAATTACTGATGTCCTTATAAAAAGAGGGAATTTGGACACAGAGAAAATGCCATGTGAAGATGAAAACAAAAATCAGGGCAATGCATCTACAAGCCAAAGAACTCCAAAGACTGCCAGCAAACCACCAGAAGCTAGGAGAGAGACATGAAACAGATTTTCCATCCTGACCCTCAGAAGGAACCAACACTGAGGATACCCTGATCTTGGACTTCCAGCCTCCAGAGCTGTGAGACAATAAATTTCTGTTTGAGCCACCTAGTTTGTGGTAGTTTGTTACAAAAGCCCTATGAAACAATACAAGATGACTTCTAAATGTCCAAGTGTATGAATTGCAGAACTGTTATTTTAGCCACACAACATTCATCCATTATTCTTCTGGTAACCCTCCTCCTATTTCCCTCTAAGGACACATCTTTTCTTCCATCCCTCCCTCTCTCATTCTCAGTCTGTGTTATTTAGTGAAACACTTGGATTCCAGGCACAAGCCACAGTGAGAGGCTCAGAAATTGCTTTGGGACCAGTGCAACAAAATTTCCATGGTGAGTGCTGGAAGAGAGCCTTGTTCACCTTTGCCAGGCAAAAACCTGGATGTATCCACTCTGGAACTGCTGCCTCTACGTGCAGCATGAGGATGGCACCAAAGCAGCAGAAGGCGGAGCAAAGAGAAAGAGAAGGGGAAACCTCATAACATCACTTGATCCCTGAATCCTGCCATGCCTTAAACCGGATCCCCCACTAGACTTTTCAGATGTCAGCCAAAAAATTTCCTTTTGTGTTTAAGTCAGTTTGATATGGATTTTCTGTCACTTGCAATCAAAAGACTCCTCGCTGAATCATTTAAGTCAATTATGTTTCATCTATACAACTGGATTTTATGCAAGAAGTAGATATAATTGTATTAATATTGATAATCTTAAACTAAGAAATGGAACAAGTATTGATAGATTATAAAACATTGTAATATCCCATTTTTATAATCTTATATAAATATGTCTATACTGATATAGATTTATTTTTTAGAATAAAAAGTAAACGATCCACAAAATATTAATAATGCTTATCTCAAGGTGGCAGAATTTGGGATGATCTTAATTTTGCTCTGCTTCTTTGGGGTTTTTTGAGATTTATTTTTTAATTTAAAAGAAATTCAAAATACTAATCATTTCTCTGAGCCTTTCACCTTTGAAGAGAGAATGGGGAGTCTGTTCCATCCTTCAAATCTGAGCACCACAAGCAATAGTAGTCCTTCAATATTCAACTTGATAACTGGTTGATGCCCGGACCAAGGATTGTGGCGAAGGGCAACATCCTTTTTCGTAAACACCCAGATGAGAGGACTGAAAAAAGAGACATTCCTGTAAGCTATCAAACAAAATTACAAACTTCAGAGGATGGTTTTAACCTTTTCAAACATTTCAATTTGTTCTAATAAAATTGATAGTTATAGGAACAGTGATGAGTGAGGCTCTCATAAATTGTTATAACATGGTCTTATTTTCTGTAAAGTTAACTGAAAGATAGGTTTGTGGTTACACCCTAGAAAGGAATCAGAGAAGAAAAGCCAACTTTCAGGATTGTAGAGTCTGCCAAAACAATGTACTGTAAATTAAGGGTGGGAGAATGCATTTGGCTCAGTTCAGAATCTACTCACCCTTTGTATTCAATGAAAACTGAACTCAGACCTTTGATATCTGAGTTCCATTTACTCTTGGCAAAGTTCAGTTCTCTGGTTCAAAAAAAAAAAACCTCAGGAGGCCCAGAGGTTTTCTTGGACATCAAAAGTTTCTTGCACAAACAACATATTGATGAGCTAAGTGTAAATGAATCAGAAACATACAGAGTAAGTGAATCTAAAACACACACACCCTCCCATGCTATACAAAAAACTTAGCACTCAGGGAAGCACTATGTTTGTCTCTTCCCTTAAAGAGTATTCCTTTTTACCATATTTTATCCCTTTCTCAAGAAGTCTTTGAGGGACCTTTGTAAAATGTAGCAAAAGAAAGAGAGTATATCCAGCTGTTCCTAATGATGACTTCTCACAGTCCCTTCCTGGCTATGCCCTGAAACCTAGG